TGTATTCGCTCCAAGTCTTTAGCTATAGCCGCTTTCAACGGTAGTTGTGGAGAATACATCCCGAATCACCAGTCGTTCCAACGCAGTTCGAAAACCGCTAAGGAATATCGTTTCCCGTGTGGTAGCTGCCCCAGATCGCAGCCTCATAATGTTCAGAAGCACTTATTTTCCAAGCATGGCTATTCGATTCGGGCGGTCAACGCACCGCTTTTGAGCTTTTCAGCGAATGTGCCTTTTCCGTTGGCTTTGCATATAGAGCAGATCTGGCTATATTCGGACGCTTACCAAAGGCAATCCTGCGACCACTACCTCAGCCTAGGCAGGAACTAGAGGAATCCGACAGTTGGAGACCGTCAGCGTCCAGATCTATGTTTTAGTTCGTTTTGCAATTGTATTTTGCTTTCAAATTGAATGCTTATAACCTTTGTCTCTTGTGTGCAATTATTCTCGTATAAATTTACTTAGTAGCTTGTTGAAACACAAAAGCTTTGTTAGCACTAACATGTATTATTTAAGCTATAGCTCTAACCCAGTAGCTTTAGACAAAATGCTATTAGAGTCTGACTTCAGGAGCAGATTACTTGCATGCTTTGAGATCGAGTCTTGCCGTTTCTTTGAGAACAGGATTTAGCAGGATGTCTTTTATAGAGTATGAGGAAGCACTAAAATATAGCCAAATATTTAACCGCTTAATTTAAAGTGGTCATCAGGCTTGTCTCTATCAAGAAGTCTTCAGGATTACACCTTATCCGACAAGAATTCTAATGGCTCATTTAGTTACCATTAAGTACTGCAACTCAAAAAAAATCTTGCAAGACATTCTTTATTTCATACCGCTATATTTACAAAGCATGTGCACGCGGATCTGATTACCGAGACAGGAAAAGTTCGGGAAAAATTATAAGAACTGCTCTGTGTTTGATAAGAATACATACGGTAGACTAACGTGAGAATTGCTCTCCCTAATCTTGTAGTCCTTTGGGAAAAATCTGGTTCTAAGTTTTCGAATTCATGCAAGTTCCAAAAAAATATGACTCTCTCTCTTTTTCATTGGTATGCTTCAGCGTCGTGAAGCGAGTTAGATGTCTGAGAAATTCGAAGTTTTTCCCTCATATTATGTATAAACATGGGACTTGCACGATCCATTTGATTATACGCAAGATGTTAGCATCATTGCAATTGCTCACATTAGATTTATATTGAAGGTCTGTCACGTTGGTTGCATTAATTGTCTAGTCTGGCGCATATAAGCATCTAAAAAGTGGGAGTAGACACACTTATTGTAATTCCATGAACACGTTGCTTTTGATGCAAATCAGGATTTTAGAACATTTTATAGAATTGAGTTCTGGTCAACGTGACGCTTCTGTTCCCTCATCTGTTTTCCCCATAATATTTGATTTTAGAACAATTTGTGTCCAACACGTCGTCACCAATCACAGAACGATCATTGCGGCGTCAGAGGAGAGAGCAACGGAGACAAGAATTTTTTGAGGCAAAAAGGAAGACAACAACTATGATGAGGGATAGCAATAAAAGGACGAGGCACCCTCCTTTCTAGAAAGCAAAGCTCAAGATCAGATCTATAAAGCCTGCAAGATATTGGTCGACTGGACAAGTTCTCAGGCTCTGGGGGAAAAAACTCTTGAGGAATGGACGAGTATTCGGAGATAACACAAGAACTGGCTATTCCAAATGCAATCACACAAAAGCTGCTACCCCTTTACTTGACGGGTGGTGCAAAATTAAAGTACCAACAAATCCCAGATCGCGAGACGATAACCTGGAAAGAGCTGGTAACGGAATTGGCGAAGCGAATGAAGAATACTTCACTTCTCAGCAATATCCGAGATGAGTTACATAATATGACGCAAGGAAAGGATATTGTGGGAGAATTCGCTAGAAGGTTTATTAAACAAAAGTTGCCTTTCAGGAACAAGGCCAACCACTGATTCAAAAAATGGCCATCGATTTTTTCATCAAAGGTCTTAACCCTGAAATCAGGAAAGCGATAGAAGGTTACCTGATACGGTGGAGTTCGAGGAAATAGTATCCAGCGCAGAGAAGGAATTCCGTATCCTGAAACGGGAAAGGAGGATAGAGATGCCCTCCAGGCCGTCAATGCACTCCTCATGGATGAGAAAATCACTCGGCTTGAACAACAGTTGAACCAGGCAAAAACAACTCCTCAACAAAAACCCATCATCAACCAGGATAGGAATAGATATAGGCAAGTACAGAAGACGATGCGATTACCTCAAACTTTCTTTTTCACTCAGCGAGGATACTATCCCAGACTACCACCTGCTCGGCAACGAATACCAACACTCTTAAATCGCATGGCATACAATGGCAGATATAATGTACCAGAACAAAGAAGAAGATTTTGTGAGTGGAACATGTCCATGTCATGCACAAAATAGACCTCCCATCCCCTTCAAAGGTATAACAGCTGCAAGGCCTCCAGGGACAACAAGGAGCCTGAGGGCCTATACCCCAGGGCCTGTAGTAATCCCCCCTACGTCGTAACGTACGAGGTCGCGAGATAAGCTCGAGCTTAGTTTCATTCCTCAATGCATTAATCAGTTCACCGGCTATCCTTCAACACACTCGTCGAATCACGTCAAGAACAGCTCGTGAACTAAGCTCGAGCTAAAGCTCGTGATCTTAGACACGACATATCCCACGAGCTCGTACACGAGCTCGACTTTCCTCCTCAGATCGTGGGCGATGGGGAGAGACGCAGAAAAATGGCACGAGACTAGAGCTCGAGTACGCCAAGTTCACGACCTGATAATCGTGTTGGGACCCGCCTACAGTACACCATACAAAGCTTCGAAACGTTAAAACGCCTGCGCTTTCTCAATAAATTTGCTATTTGTTGTTATCGACGTCTTTTCCGCTCTTTCAACCTAGTCTAGTAGTAGGTATGATGTTTCTGTTACAGGAACTTGCAACCGGAGAGTCGCAGCTCATAGCGACTCCTCAGTGAACACTCGCTTCTCAAGGCGGAGGAGGAATGAGCATGAAGAGGTGACTTTGCTACTATCATGAGCGCGCAAAGGGTAAGGGGTTCGAGTTGAGGGAAGCAGAATTTTGAAGATTTTATTGCGAATTAATCATTTGCGAATTAATTATCTGATAACGGAACACGACACAAGTGTTATTTATTAACAGAAGGTCTCGAAGATTCTAGAGACTTTTAGCTGATGAAACATACCCCACATCCTTTTTTTTCAGAAGACATCGCAAAAAGTCCGCCACTAGTTTACCTTCGCCTGCAACAGTGAGCTACACCTGTGAGCAGTCCCCAGTTCAGTGTATAAATTTCCCAGCAGGTGCATCTCCCGAATTAGCCATCACTGGAGCAAGGGAAGAAGTGAGATTTTCGATAATATTGAAGCATTCGATTGGAAATTTTTGAAGATTGTTTTGAAATGGTGTCTTGCAGATCCGCTTGAAAATGAATCGAATGCGACTGCGTATTCGAGCCCGATTGAGGGATGGCGCAGCTGCTGTGACTGCACAAACTTCGCTAAAAATGTCTCGCTGAGGTTGTCCTTCAGAAAGGATGGAAATTAAGTGGTGCGCACTTGCACATGCTGAAACTGAGAATTCAAAAAAGTACTCAAAGTTGAAGTTCAGTAATCGTAATGAACCAATCACGATCAAAATTGGGATTTCTATGTGTTCGAGGTTGTTCTTCTGCATAGCTATGATTGTTCGCAAAACAAAGCAAAAAAGCTTTTTTTTCAAACAACTTTTCAAAATCTAAGTTCAAGTTCAGTAATATGTTCAAAGTGAATGGTTAGATAACGAGTTCATGCCAGTACACATAGACATTTTATACGACATCACTAATCATGTATGGATATGTGACTGACAAGGTCGCGCCAACAGGTATATAGCTTGTAGCCAAGATGTAGGTTAGAACCTTAATGTGCCTGCGGCATTCTGCTCGAAGGAAACCTTTATGAGGTCATGACCTTGCAACGCGGAAGAGGGAAAACATGTAATCGAGTACATGGAAAACATAGAAATCCCAATTTTGATCGTGATTGGTTCATTATAATTACTGAACTTCAACTTTGAGTACTTTTTTGAATTCTCAGTTTCAGCATGTGCAAATGCGCACCACTTAATTTCCATCCTTTCTGAAGGACAACCTCAGCGAGACATTTTTAGCGAAGTTTGTGCAGTCACAGCAGCTGCGCAATCCCTCTACGCCTGGTTTTGACTACTGTTCCAAGTCGATGACCAGTTGGGATCTATAATACAGTGATGCACAGAACACTTATGCTATGCTTACTACTTTCAGTGAGGTTAACATGAGGTATCAATATCCTTTAGCTCTTTTTTCTTTATATCATTCTACTTTTCTGTCATGTTAAATATCGAATAATCGAAGATGATTTTTTATAGTTATTATTTTTCCTTCGTTTTTGATTCTGACGCAGCTATAGGGGTGTGAACCAGTCGTGAAGAGTCGGGGAGAAATTTTTGATAGTGATACCCTTTTCTTTCAGCAAAATTATCGAGATGCGAATGAAGTACGAGAAAGACTTCATGAAGAAACATCAAACTGGGCCTAATGTCTTATTTGGTGCGAGCAGCTGCTTAAAGGCAGCGTCCAGGCAAATCTGAACATACGGAGTTCTGATGTGGGAAGTTATTTTGGGGCCCTAACTAAGACACTGCCCAAGCGGCCGTTAGAGCACCACCTGCGCTGCGCTTGAGCAGTGCGTTAGTTAGGGCCCCAAAAGTAATTTCCACGTAAAATCCTCATAGGTCCAGATCTGCCTGGACGCTGCCTTCAAGCCCTTCAAGAAATCTCAGTAGTTAACGCAGGTGAGCTCCTATCACGGCTTGATATCATCGTGCTAAAGAGTATCTGGTTCATAGTCACTGATGAGAATGAGATTAGCCACCACCATTTCGTTGGCATCATTGCTGTAGCTACAACCAAAGAATTAGTGGGACCAGTTTTGCGTGTTTAGTCAATGAACTATGCCCAGATTGAAAAGGAGTTAGCAGCGCTCGGAGAAAAGGTAAGATTTTATAAAAACAAACAATTAAGGCAAATAGCGAATGAATGGGTTTAGGCCATGGATAATAAACTAGCTGTAGAGGATATGAAAAAAGGCACATTTACCATTTCGAGTGGTGGATTTTTCGGATCGGTATTCGGCACGCCAATCATGAACTCATACCAGAGCGTTATCTTAGGAATGCATGGAATTTTCGATATACCTGTTATTATAAATGGAAAGGTAAGAATATAGTTTGCTTTCTAGTCTCTCAGTTATCAGTTCGCAAGTGTCTAAAATGGCTATTCATGAGCAGCCCATTTCAAAGCACTGTTAGAGTGCCCCATAATTTTTTTTGTACTATTTTTACTTTCACCCGCATTATCTCAAATTCCTGTTGTTCAAAATAGTTTCTGTTTTACCTTCCACAGAGCTCAGCACTCCACAATAGCTCCTAAACATTCATTTGAAGTATGTTCTATATACAGAAGCAACCCAATGGAGCAGCACGTCAATCAGAGTCCAGCAATTGCTTTAAAAGGAGAGCAACACAAGCTACACTGCTTCTTCTCGGGATAGTGAGTCTTCTTCTCAGTTCTCTTATCTATTCTCGCTTTGTCTTACTTACCATCCACCCGCTTTAATGTTTCAAGCTTTCATTTTTCTTCCTTGTTTTTAATCCATAATTCTCATCACTCAAGCGCGCTGACCAAACAAATTACGTTAATGGGCTTAGCACAAGTACAGCCGCTTCTGGCTGTTTGCCAGTTCTGATGTGATCGGAACGTCATTGCAGTTCCATGTTGTTCCTTTCTTTTGTTTTAAAGTTCTTTGACGTGCTTTCGGTCACATTGAGGCGATTAGTGAGCTTCTGAAGCTTAGAAGTGCAATCGCTAGCATTTTTTGCTTCAAACAGGAGCAGTTTCCTTTCTTCTGTGTTAGGGGATTTACAGAAGCAAAAAAGGCTGTGTTTCTAATCTTAACAAACAAAAAATGAGCGATTGTGTTTTTTCTTGTGACATTTCTAATTGCTGAAGATTAGCAACAGATATTGCTAATTTAAGATTGAAGGAAATTGAAATTTCTGCATCTACGCTTCTTTTTTCTCGTTGAACAATTGGAAAAAAGAATTTATTTGTTTTCTATAGTAACGTCAGTGCTAAAAAGAAAGAAAAAAGCGTAGATGCACGTCATTTGAAGACGTGGCTTTATGTGGTACTCATGTATTGATCTAATTTTTTTTGATGAAAAAGCTTGTTGCCTTGAGCAAAAATTGTCTTTGCTTACATGACAACGTAAACCTCATCTTTATCTTGCCTGAAGTTGCGACCTTCACTTCGCATCGCTATATCTCGGTTCACAGTATTGTGAATACGAGGGGCTTGATGCCGTGCATCTTTTGTGATATAGAATGCCTGTTTGTGGTTTATGGTATGAACACGACAGGCAGTCAATCTTCAGCAGCAGCGATTGTAAACAGCGCAGTTACCCTGTCGTAAGCAAAAATCTCGAAAGGTTTGTGGCAACCGCCTACCATACAACTACCGTAACAAGCAGTTCAGTGTATCAAATGGTGCTCGTCATCGAGTTGAATGGTGCCTTTGGATTCAGAATCTTTCCACTTTGACTCGAGATATGGCGATGCGGCAGAAATGCCGTAAACTACAATGACTATAGCATCTTTTTTTCGCAGTCTATGCGGTATAGTTAACAGCCCCAAATCTCACTGCTCATGTGGCGCTCCTCAGAAATTTTGAGAGGCGATTTGGCGATTATGGATCGCGATCATTTTTGGGCAGTGAGTCGGTGCAGATGAAAATAAGGAAAATTTTGCTCCTAGAATGGCAATCGACCTGAAAAAAAAGCATTTCATGCATAAAAAAACGTTGAATGAATTGCTTCTGTGATTGTCAGATCGATAAATTCTGCTGGATTATCTGTCTTTTTCTTTCCGACAAAAAATCCCCGCTGATAAGAACTTGAGGAGATTATTTTAGATACAATTCTTCAAAGTGACCCTTGGGTTTCTTTTTACATATGCACAATGGGATACCTTCATTACCTTCGGTAGCTTTCTTATTGTTGTCAAGGGTAGCCCAAGTCCACTAAGTGCTATTTGTCACCATTAGCTGATGACCATTATCTATCCAATTGCCATTGAAAACGGTTCATTCGAGCAAGTCGAATGTCAATGCATTTCAGTTCATTCATTGGCCACCATGCGGACCATTTCGCGCCCGTCCCAGCATAATCCCCCACACGTTCAATCCCACGCACAAAGAGGCAACACAGGTGGGGCAGATAGGTGCAATGAAAAAAAGCCGCTGGGAGTTGATGGCAAGCGCATTGGCCTCAACTATCGTATCATTAACATAGTTGGGTCATTTTTGGTGAAAGGCCCCGGTACGTAAGCGATGAGATTCAATTTCAGTGGAGAGTGGAATCTTGCTTATCTTTGGCCAAGCGGCGAGTTAATCTTTTCCCGTTGACGACAGCTTTTTTAAGTCTCGCATAGTGATGAAGTATAAGAAAAATCGGTTGTTAGCGCATTGCAAAACTTTTTGGTTTTGGATTTATGAGACAATTTCTAAAACTTTCTGATGGCCTTGAGACTATTCAAATTGTTCATATGTAAAGGTTGGTGAAATTCATTCCAACCTTGTTTTATATCCGTTACAAACATAGCAAGATCGCCTCTATATAAACAGGTTTTGTTAGACTGGTCGCGTAAAAAAGCCGGTTCATATGGAAACAAAACACATTTCCAGGTTCTCAATTTCAATTTTACGTTATTTTCCATACTTCAGTAATTGGAGACAAATCACTTCAACAGTTGGGGACAAATTACTTCAGATCGACCCCGCGATCTAGCAAAAATGCTCGAAGTATGACCGCTGCCTATAGACTTCGTTATAACACCTATCAAATACACTCTCATAGATCGTTTTGAAAACTTGAAATATCCCCCAAGTTATAGCACAATTGGAAATGTACCACCAGAGCAACCGGACGCTTTAGCTGAAAATCACTTTGCGGTATGAATCAATTGAATGAATTAGTCAGGTGAGGTTTGACCAGTCCGTCGTGCATGTTCAGATGTCCTTTAGTGGATTAAGGGGAAACGAACAAGCCGCTGGTACGCCAAGAGGGTACGCCTTCGGACCGGATGTTCACTCTATTTTTGATTAGTGTACTAATTGCAGCACTATTTGGTTTGAAAATTGCTTTATCGTCATATTTTAAGAAGCCGAAATTAGCTCAAAATTTCCTGTTATTTCGATCGATGGACTTCATTGAATCGAAATCAAGAGATTATGAGCCACCCTTACAACACTCAGCTGAGATGTTATCAGCTTACTCAATAAGAACAACAACTCAATCTTATTCCTTTGTCAAGTACCGAGAAGTGTTAGCTAACCACTAAAATGCTGCGGCGGCCCAAGCACTGCGTCGTATCCCATGCGGGAACGGCTAACGCTTACAGCGTGGGGTAATGTGATGGGACGCCGCTCGCTTGCTTGGGTTGATGGAACGCCGCTCGCCAAAAGAGGTACGCCACTGGTAGGGCGCATCAGGGAACGCCGTTGGTACGCTAAGCGCACGCCCGTGGTACGCAAAGCCATTTAAATACGCCGCTGGTACGCAACGAAAGTCTGAGTAACTCATTTCAAAGTGCAAAATGTTTCGCTCTGCATTGGATCCGAACCACCACCTTTCGCCCTCAATGCCAACAACTAACCATTACACGATTGCACCACAGAGGCGCATAACAGCGCTCTCAAACTCAAAGAGCGCCCTCAACATAGGATTTTCAGGCTTCCATAACTCTCTTCAAAAGAGCCTCCGCAGAAACGGAAAGCAGATTTGAAATCAGCGTTCAAAGCTGCTTCAGATGGTATGTCATAATGAAAGACCACGGCCACTGAAAGTACTTCCCTTGTTAGACCCATATGCACGTACATTTCCGCTGGAGAGGGGAGAGCATCTGAGAGGTCCCATCTCAATCTTACATTTTACCCAATCTTACATGAAGATGCTTCATGAGTTGAGTTTCAAAGCCACGAAAATGAGAAGGGCATACAGATAGGGAACCTCCGCGAAGCGGAGGTGACGCACTGGTAAATACCAATAAGATGTTTCAATCTTTAGTGTACTGAAAAAGATTGCATGATGGAAGGAAGCTCGGTCTGCAATGACATTATCATAGAAGTTCTGAAGAGAAGGGGGATCCTTCTTGATTTAAACGAAGCGAGGAACCCTGAGGCAAACAGGCGAAAATCAAAAGCTTGGAAAGAGATTCAGGATCTTGTTCTTGTGCACTGTAAAAGGGTGTTCACGATAGAGCAAGTAAAGAGAATTTGGCGCAATCGCAAAGCGCATGTGCGGGAAGCGATTTTAAAAGAAAAAAGGTGAATGGACGTGCTGACTTATTGAGCATGATTACAGCGTACACTTTTAGATATAGAAGCAGCACAGGAGGCGGATTGGACCCCGTTCTAGAAAAAACAATCTCAACTACTCTTTCTTCGTTAAGCCAAGCGGAGACATTGCTGGCGAGGACGCTGGGGAGGGAAGCCGTAATGGCTGGGCTGGGAAACATGGAGACCTATGTGGATAAAGTATAGATTTGCTTTGCTGTGAGTTTAGTGTGATAATGTGCATATTCAGGTAAAGGGTGGTGGATATTGAGGGGAGATGCAGGGGGAATGCGAAGGAGGGGAATCTAGCTTTAACACGCGTAAGGTATGGATCTATCGATGACATGACATGCTTACAATATATGCTCACACTATTTAGAAACAGTTACACCGATACTGCGACAAAGATAATTTTGGCGATAACGTGGTCTGCAGCGATCAATGGAGGGAAGCAAAGGTTGATGCAGGCAGGAAGGAGGACGGAGGGTGGGTGGGAAATGATAACCGACACGATTTGCAAAAAAGGAAGGACATACAAAAGGTAATCATGATGCGAAGTGCCAACAAGCTTAGTGTAACTAAGCTTTTCAGATACGACAGTCGGAGCAGAGCGGGAGCGATTTTTACCCGTCTGACATCGAGGGATCGGAAGGACGGAGGGTTGGAGGGAGGGATAGTGCGGGCAGAAGGGATGAGGAGGAGGGCTGGAAGGGAGGGAATTTCTCTTCTCCGGAGGTTATAGCCGACGCTGAACTCAGAGCTATCAGACCCAAGCGGGTACAAGAGCAACTCAATGACGTATGTATTAGCATCAGTTAGATTATCACTATAGATTTTATTCTAGTTTGATTTTGATGTATCGTCAATATCGCCACCGAAACGTCGCAAATATACGGATAGGGAAGTTAATAAGTTTTGAATGGAGGTTCTAAAAGTGGGTTCGTTTTGAACATGAAGGTTGCAAAAGATTTTTCATTTCAGGAAGAAAGAGCACTGATAGCCAAAAATCACTTCTTTTGGATAAGCAACTAGAACTGCTTGGCGAAATGAAAGAAATGATCAGTGAAACCCTGCAAATCTTACGTGGAAAAAGGGAAGTGAAGAAATCAACATAGCAAATAGAGCCTTGGAATCCCTCAGATGGGGATCCCAATATAGCTGAATCCGTAGAAACCACAGATCTTTAAGTATCATACGCTTACTCTTGCTGTTCGTTACATGCTAGTGTTGTTAATTTTTTCTGATAAAGATATTGAGTAGAAAATTATGAGTTCAACAGTTGCAATAGTTTAACAAGCACACAATACCCTTCATAACAGCAACAAAAATAAAAAAAACATACAGAACATGCTTACAAAAAAAACTACATACAACTGACAAGGTAGGCACAAATGTCCGCGCAGTCTTCTGATGACGGAGAACTGAGAGCCTGCGCCCAAATCTCCTCGGACGCAGACATCCCATAGCCATCATCATGTTGTGAAGAACTGCGCAAGCTATGATGATTTGAGTTGCACGCTCGGGAGCCACACGGATCGTATCCTTCAGTATAGCGAACTTCCGCTTCCAGATACCGAAGGTGCACTCGACGATGACTCGCATCTTCGAGTGCCATCGGTTGTAGGAGATCTCCTGCCTGGATGTCGGATTTCTAATGGGTGTAATAACATCATTCCCATTAGCGAATCCGGAATCTCCAAGGAAGTTGTAGCCACGCGGAACTGCATCTTCTTCGTAGGCATATTTGACCTGCGAAGCGGCGAAGACGCTGGCATCGTGGACAGAACCTGGAAAGTTCGCATTTATGTACGTAAACCGTCCGTGGGCGTCGACAGCAGCCAGCACATTCAGGGCTGTAAAGCCCTTGCGGCAGTAGTACTGACAGCCAGAATGTGCCGGCTTTTGTATCCGTATGCAGCTGCCGTCGACGGCGCCGATGATGTTCGGGAAAGGCCCTGTTCGGGCGAAGGCGGCGGCGCTCGTACGACAAAACTCCTCATTCCCTAATCGGCAGCGGATGAAGTGCCGCACGATTAGGGGGTTGTTCAGTGCTTTGACGACTGCTCGCACCGCATTGGAGACCGTCTTCTGGCTGACACCGATGGTGTCAGCCAGAACTTCCTAGTGGGCGTTAGTCGCCAGGTACCGCAAAGCGATCACCACCTAAATAAATCAGATTATGTGCTCGCATAATTATGAGTATTGGCCTTATGGCGTGATGCAGTGAAGATTTCCTGAAAAAAGAAATTTTTTTTAGCATTAGATGGTAAATCAGTATAGAAATGATCAAGCATGCAAGTGTTCCTATTTCTTTTTTCATAGGAAACTCAACAAAATATTTTCTGGGCGTTTTTTAGAGGAAAGTTGTCAAATAGGGAGGACTAAGTCGCTGCGGCGATCTGGAATGAAATACATATCACTAGATGCGTCTTGATGATAGAGTGGAAGCGAAATCTAGCATTCCTATCTGCTGAGCGGTCTCTTTTCAAATTCCGCAAATTGCACGCCACTGCTTCAAAATCGGTTGGTCAAAGAACATTGGTTTTCAGTGTACACACTTCTCAGTCAATTCATACACTTGACTTTTGACTTTTGCATTTAAATTCTTTCCGAGGATCGTTCAGGAGATATGGAAGGTTGATTTGCGATCAGCTCATCAGGAGCGCATCTGATAATGTGCATGACAATGCAGTTCGGCACTGCGTTTTTTTGGGATCCTCTTGTATTGGCCAGTTTTAGATAAATGAAAAAGAAACAGAAGCCTGCCACTCTAGGTCTACATTCTAGAAAACTTTTTTTATTCGGTTCTAGTAACGAAAGAGGGTATTCTTGAAAGATTAGAATTAATAGCGACAGGGAGAAGCGGAAGCGATGAGCATGCAAGCAATTTGTTTGAATGCCTTTTTAGCTGAGAGTGCTTTGCCCCTATTCGCTATCTTTTTTACGCAACCATTTAACAAAATGCAGTGTGACTGAATTACAAATAAGAACTGATTATAAGCACATTCCGATGATTAGTCGATTGTTGTTTCGATTTGGAAATTCTAAACTTAGAGGAAGGTAGGCGTTGCATGCAAGGTCTTTCAAAAAACTTGGAGGTCTGTCGTTACTGAATCTTGAGGAGATGGCAGAAACCGAAAGTATGAATTAATCCAATAAAGAGTTGCTGAGAGTGTTGTCTTCGGAAAGTCTTAGATCCAAAGTGTTAGGAGTGCACTAACGAATTTTGTGAGAAGCTTTGCTATAGGTCATGTTGGCAACTAAGTTTTGCAAATTTTTAACTCCTTGCTCTACGCAGTCAATTTTCGGCATGAATCAGGTGGGTCCGAAAGTTCTTGCCTTTTTTCAGACCCATTCTAAAATCGTTCAAAATAAAGACAGACAAATTGTTCAAACAGTATCCGATGCAGAATTTCTTCCTCTTTCCAGCAGCTATATTTTCGAAATGGCTGAATCGACGAACGCTGAAATAATTGTTGTAAACTAGAACTCTTCATTTCTGCCATGTCTAAGTTTAGCTAATTTTTGGAACTTTCATTTTAGGCTTCTGATGGTGCTTTAATAACCATCTGATAGGGCTTTTTCAAAATAATGCAATTTTTTGCATTTCTCTGGCATGCGTTCTGGAATTACTAAAATATTTTTTTTGAACTCAACAAATTTTATATTTGGCTCATTATAACCTCGCAAAACATCATACATTGAACAGTTTAGGTACCATTCGGTGCATCGTTTTCTCCTTTTTCTGAAGGCTACCTTTTCTTCGCGAAATTTGCCACTTTTGCAGACATAATTGCTGTACTTTCCAATTTTACGTGTGCGTGTAGTCGAAATTTTAGAATCTGTCCGATTTCACGCCGTAGAAGTCTTAGAACTTCAATATTCTGAGGAATTCGCAGTGTTTGGTGCAATCTTGTATCGCGCGACTTTTTCAAAATTTTATGCTCTAGATAATTCAGCAAAATTCTAAAGAGGAAGCTGAGAAAGACCAAAAATTGCGTTAATTTGAAAAAGGTTTGCCCTATCAGATGATTATTAGAACACCTTCAAAAGCCTAAAATGGAAGTTCTAAAAATTAGCGAAACTTAGACATGGTAAAAATCAAGGATTCTAGTTTTCGGCAATTATCTCAGCGCCAGTCGAAGCAACTACAAAGTAAACACAGCTGCTGAAAGATGAAGTTTGCATCGGATAGTGTTTAAACGATTTGTCAGGTCAGAAAAAAGGCACGAACTTCCGCACCCACCTAGTAGATCCCATAACGCGTTAGGTTGTCCCGAAATTTCTATCGCTCCATTTTGAAAAATTTTAACTTGGGGATATTTTGACGTATTTGTTTCTTTGTAATTTTTTTTAGAAAGATCAAGTTTTTTTGTTAACACTATCTTAGAGAGTTTTCAATAATTTCTGATTGCAGAATTGGAAAAAGAAGGCCATATAAAATGGAAAAAAGCCCATATAAGCCTTGATCATTTTGAGTTGGATCAAGAAACTGAAATGCTGCAGAAAGTCTGAATTTCTTTGTACATGAGTTTATCGACGTACTCTTTACAGCTGAAAAAAGTTAAGATTCATTTGTAAAAAGTTATGATTTTCAAAAAAAGTCCCAAATTGATTAGTTTTGGTGTTTTCTGCAATAATCGAGGTTCAACGTTCTTACAGAGATGACAAAAACAGCACAAACTCTTCTCGTTCGGAAAAAGTAGATACTAAAACTTAAGTACTAAAAAAATTTTCCTCTGCAACGTCTCAGTCCACTGGCAAACTAACTTTTAATGGTTCCTCCATGTATATCTCTGCAGTCAGAGCCTATTAAAAGCTCTAAGATAATTTCGAAAGCAAAAGACTTTTTCTTTCTAACAAAACTAAAGAGAGGCAAATACGATGAGATATCGAAAAGTTACAAATTCTCAAAAATGAAACAACAGAATGTTTGGGAAGACCCAATATTATGATTTGATCTAGCAGTATGTATAAACTCACTTTCGTTAAGAAACTAAAAATTAGGATTGCATTTCAAAAACTGGTAAAAGGAAGAAAGGAAAAAAGAAAAAAAGAAACATCTAGGAAGGGTTAGCTGTGACAAAAAATCAGTGAGATGGAACAGAAAGTGTTGTCTTAGTGTGACAAGATTTTGACAATCCACTAGAAAAGAAATGGAAATTCAGGACTGATACATTCGAATAAAACTTATTCATCGACGCTGCTTCGGAAATTCGTCAACATGAATAGTCAGAATGTCGACATCTGCGGAAAATTTGCAGTGTGAGTTAATGACTTACAGGACGCTTTCAAATCTATTTTCATTGTTTGAAAAAAAGGATTCTAACTTTGCATGAAAGTGGAAGGATTATCAATTCCGTAAGCAGAATGTTTTTTTAGCCAAAGGTTGAAACAACTCTGCAATAATCTATAACTTTGACCCCACATAGATTGCTTGACATTTACTTGCTGAAATTACATGACGATGTTGGGCAGGCTGTGACTGTAATTGCAGCTCGCAACATAATTTACATGATGCCAGAGAGTAAGTGCGTTAGATAAGAAAGAATGGAATAGTTGCAAAACTCAATCACCAGCTTAAGTGAATGGAGTGACAAGTGAATAAAACACCGTACTGATTTAGGTTCGGCAAGTGAGCCATCGGCAGAATGTACACAAACACAAATATTCTCATAAAGTTGGGATCGATAGTCAAAAGAACAAAGTTGGAAACACTAAGACTCCAGTTTTAATTACAAAAAAAAAATCTTACCTTGTTCTCCACAGTCACGGATCAGTTCCGTGTCTGGCGGTCCCCAATAAGCGGTGCGAGCAGTCGACATATCTTCCTCAGGTGCACCTCCTGCATCCGGAATTTTCGCGCCAACATCCGCTGGTTTTGATGGAACAGGCGAATTGATGCAGACGACCGTAGCGGATGTTGGCGCATCTGGTCGCAGAACGACGTGGGAGGGCAAGCAGGCTTCTGTAATAATTCAGATTACTTTTGTATTGCTATTGCATATTGAAATAAAACCAACCGCTAATCAGGGAAGAGTATACGAATGAAATCAAAAGAATTGGCGCGCTAAACATGAAGGTCCACGTAGTAGTAA